TGTGACTGATTCAGTTTGGGGGGCAATACTCCCCGACCTCTCTTCTGAAAGAAACACCGTATCTGGCCCCTGATGGTGTTCTATAAACTAAATTTGGCCCTCGAGATGTATTAGGTTGGCCAACGCTGGGCTAGAGGGTGTCGTATGGTCAGAGCAACGGATCGCCCGGCCGTTAATTTCGATTAGGATTATTTCTAAAGAGTGAAAGTATAAGGTAAATTAAAGCTATCCGTGCAATAGGCCGTGGACGCCCACAGAGTTGTGAGACGTCGAGGCCCCCACATTTTCTAGAAATTCGGCTCAAAGATGGAGGTGATGTCAGCTTTTACCCANATGTCAGCCTTATGCTCCGTTAGCCCTTTACCCACAGGAAGATTCATGATACTCATTTCTGTTAGAGGCTGAGTCGACCCCAGGGCCACAGTGCGGCTGGAAGGATTAGGTAAAATGAAAAATGTAATGATCTCATCGGTTTCGAACCCGGGACCTTCCAGCTTGTAGCCAGTGCCTAAACCAACCACGCTACTGCGTTCCTCCAAAGGCTGAAACTATAAGTGTAAAAATGCTGAAACTAATGGTATCATTTTTTTCATATGTTTTTCATTTACTATAATGTACGTGGTGAAGAACTTCCGTAGGATCACATGTGAATTAAGTGACAATTAAAAGTGAAATTACTTTCGGATGGGTCAGTGATTTAAGTCCATTTTNACCCCAGGGCCACAGTGCGGCTGGAAGGATTAGGTCAAATGAAAAATGTAATGATCTCATCGGTTTCGAATCCGGGACCTTCCAGCTTGTAACATAGTGCCTCAACCAACCACGCTACTGCGTGNGAAATTACTTTCGGATGGGTCAGTGATTTAAGTCCATTTTTTTAAGAATTTCAATATAAACTACGAACGACCTGTACAATTTTATCAATTTTTTTTACCATTTTTAAGTACCTCATATACATACTTAAACTGTTTACAAGGACCATCCACTGCACCCTGTCCTGAGCGAGATTAATGAGGTGCACATCATATATCATTTGTTTAGGGTTTGTCTTAATATTATTGTCTCATTGCATTGAAAGGTTTTCTTGAAAATAAATCCTATTGTAAAAGTTGTGATATTTCAATATCCCTAACAGCATATGAGAATACACGGTTTTTCATTCCTACCAGAAATTTAGGATGACTGGCTTAGATTATGACGAGGAAAATATGTATGGTAATATAGTTTGGATATTCAGAGGATGCAGTTATTCAATATTATTAATATTCTGACCGTTAAGCCGGTTCACTGGCTCAGTTACTAGTCCCAGCTTTATGTAAATCGTGTTTAAATGCCGGTCCCCAAAATGTGCTGTTTCCATTACAAAGGCCAGTCACACGATTATGTTCAAGTAAGAAATCCCCATTTAATCTAGAAATCACATGAAAACCGAAAGTTAACTCAATATTATTCTCAATTTATTTTATTGTTTAATAGTCTTCCTCGTTGTTTACACACTCTTGAAACGTTTGTTAAGTGTTATAGCTGACACATGTAGAAGTCACTGAGCTTTGAAGAATTAAGTCACGTCACGGATTTAATAAACCTCAGTTTCCAGGAGTATAACGGTTTTCATTTGTTTTGGATGTCTTCTTGTTTATGAAAATTAAGAAATTATGTTTTATGTTTGTGTTTTTTTGTGATTTAAGCCGTGATACACGTACACCATGTGAATCTACTGGGTGATAATGCAGATACCATAAAGAGAAGCATACAGACTTTAATTGAAGCACGTAAAGAGGTTGATCTAGAAGTAAACACAAAAAAAACTAAGTATATGTTGCTGTCTCGTCACCAAAATGCAGGGAAATATCATGACATAAAGATAGGAAACAGATGTTTTGAAAATGTGGCACAGTTCAGATATTTAGGAACGACTATAAGAAATCGAAACCTGATTCAGGGGAAATTAAGAGGCGATTGAACTCGGGTAATGCTTGCTACCATTCAGTCCAGAACCTTTTGTCCAAAAACATACAAATTAAGTTTGTGCACAGGTAGAGGCCTTGCGACGAACTGATCATCCGCCCAAGGAGTCCTACCGAATGTGTAAGATCTAGAAAAACCGAAGTGAACGAAGAGTTTCATGGAGGTAGGCCTAGGCCCAAATGAGGTCTGTAGCGTCAATGAAAAAAAAATCCTCTTTAACAATATACCTCAAGTCAAGGCTTATATTATTAAACGTCTTCTTTCCTTGGCACTACAGCCCCAGTGGGCCTAGGCCTACCTCCATGAACTTCTCCGCTCACTTCGGTTTTTCTAGATCTTACACGTTCGGTAGGACTCCTTGGGCTGGTGATCAGCATATTATTATTAAACTACGTAACCGAAATTTCCCTAGAAGGAAAGGGCACGTGTAGGATTATGTGAAAAGCTATCAGGAAGAGGTTATCTCTATGAATGTAGGGTATAATGGGGCAATTATTATTCTTGTGAGTCGATTCTAGTTATAAATGTGTGCATGTAAACAGTCAGTCCGACATCTTGAGTAAACGAGAAAGCCTAGAGGCAAGAGGGGGAGACAGAGTTTCTTAGGAGGGGTAAGAATGGAACTTCCTCATTAAAAGCGAAGAATTACAGGGTTTTCCACAGACGAGAACACTCACATGTCTTACAAGACCCCTCCAGAACAGCTTCCTCTGTTCAAACTACGACATCCAACGAGATGCTTAATGTTAAGGATCTTACCAACAGAAGTAAACATCGGCGACAGACGGTAACATAAATTCTAGCAACCAGATTATCATCACCCCCTCTCGAAAACAGATCTTTACCCAACCGCATACACATCGAAAAACGACAAAACTTTTTTGTCCGCCCTGGGAAATAGAGAAGAGCCCATTTGAAAGAAAATACAGGTCCTTAATTGGTGATTCCTTCCAATGATTGCGTGTTATCTGCTGTGTTGGGTAATCTATACAGACTTGGCCTGCAAGAAAAGGTTCCTCTGACGGAGTGAAATGAGATTAATGACAGGGATTTTGGCCACAGCCCTTTTCAGTCCTTAACGAGGATCTGATCAATACAGGCGAACGGGCGGATTCCTAACTTCCGAATTAGTTACACATTCATTAGGCGCGGATGAGTGACCGAATCCAAGTGGTTTCGACTCGAGACTTCGAGAAAGAAATCGTTTTCCCTTCTTCTTGTTTAAGCTTAAATGAACCACGTACCGTGTTCCCTTGCTTAAACATTAATCTTAAAGACTTGGAATTCAAGATTACGTTTGGACCGCTCCATAGCTCAAGCGGTTAGTCGCTGG